TTTTGAAAAAATTTCCCCGAATCGCCAACTTGAATAATTCTGCACCAGGTGCTCCCATCATATGATAGCCACTTTGTGCAACATTTGCTTGTTTCACTTGTTTGTTTGTGAAACCCTCTTTGTTCTTTTCCACACTCTGTAGAGCACAGTACCCTTGCACATCATCATTATCAAGTCTACATGCATGGTCATGGAACATTGCTGTTACCATTGCAGGTTCGTCAACCAAAGTACATAATCCATTGCGATGTCCAAATCCCCATGTAGTCCCGTTTCTGGTCACAAAGAAGCTGTTCTCTTTCTTTGTGTCCATAAATACATCAAATCCATCTTTTACCATGTTCGACAAACTGTTGATGTTGTCGCTAGCTGGTGTGTCAAGTTTACACACAGAGTCAAATACCTTATTGATTCCTTCTCTATAAAGTTCTCTTCCCTCGACATTAAAGGCATAATGGAATTCTCCATGAATTCCTTGTAGACTTCCTTCTTTAAAGTCATCTTCATTGGTTCGCAAATGAAAAGTAGATCCACTGTCCAAGTGGATAACAGTATTGTTGTGTTGAAATAACATCATCCCTTGTTGTCTTGGATGATTGTCAGTATGTCCTTGTTGAATGAATTGTCCTCCATGGCATCCATTGTTGGAACGTCCATAGTTCCATTGACTATTTAAATCTCTTGATTCATCATCATCACACGTTGCATTTTCATCACGTTGCATATTTTGTCGATTATCACAACCATTCGCGTCCGAATAATCCCTATATTTGTCCGGTTTTTTCCATTTTTCCCGCGGCTTCAATTTGTCCGCACATTGAGGTGCGACATGATCTTTCGATCCGCACACAAAACACGCTCGAGTTTGTTGTTGCAAAAACTGAGCTCCGTCATTTTGATTGTTGTTTGACTTGTTTTGTTTCCCTTGTCCATTCGAATTTCCTCCATTCGAATTCTTCTTTCTGTTATTGTGCTTGTGTTGATTCAAAACATCAGCAGCATTTTCCAAAGTAGTTGGAAATGTACAACGTTGTTTGAAATCCAGATGCTTCAACGTGTACTGCGCCGTCATTCCATCAATTCTTCATTGATGCTTGGCTCTATCGGAATTATACAGAAATCCGTTGGCCATGAATCTTTCCCATGATTCCTTCTTATGTTGGGATCGTTCAGCATTGCTTCCCAATAAATCATATTCCTGACTCTTCTCAGTAAATTTGTCCAAAAAATCATCACCAAGCAAAGCTTGTAATGCCTTCGCCCTTTCTTCAAATCGTTTACGAAAACTCGCAATGTTTCCCTTCTCCTTTTGATGGCAATTAATCAGATTGCTCATGGTCTTCCACAGACCAAAATATTCCCATTCTGTATCAACAGTAGTCGTCATAAATTTCTTGATCCGCATCAATAACTCCACAGGATCATTGAACAGTTTGTTATCAAAGTCAGCTTCTCGCTCAAGCT